TCTCTTTTTTCCTTTTTGCTTCTCTTTCTAATGCTCTGAGAAATCCCCAGTTTATGAACCTCCATGGTAAGCAGAGGCACCTCCCACTGAGAAGCTGAACACGGAAGAGCCTCATGTCCCAGCCTTCCTGGAAACAGGGCAGGGGCCCCTCCACAGAGGGCAGCAGTGTCAGCAGGCTAGAAATGACACTGGGGCCCTGTGCCAGGGTGGGCAGTGGGCACGTCCCAGCTCGAGTGCCTGGCAGTGAGGGCCACATGTCCTCCCTGGCCAGGCCTGGGTGGGATTTGAGGTTTCGATAAATTCATCTGCTGCTCAAATAAGTCAGTTGGTTTCTGTCCTTACAACGAATAAGTCTGACTGGGCATTGTCTTATTTAATTAAAGTATTTAATTTTACATCTTACCTCTTTTTCCTCTGCACACTTCCCATGTAGCTATCGGAATTAATTAAAGATGTTGCCTCTTTTGCAAACTCTTGAGCCAACAATTTTCTTATTTATTTATTTATTATTTTTATTATACTTAAGTTAGGGTACATGTGCATAACATGCAGGTTTTTACATATATATATACTTGTGCCATGTTGGTGTGCTGCACCATCAACTCGTCAGCACCCATCAACTTGTCATTTACATCAGGTATAACTCCCAATGCAACCTCCTTCCGCTCCTCCCGTGATAGGCCCCGGTGTGTGATGTCCCCCTTCCCGAGTCCAAGTGATCTCATTGTTCAGTTCCCACCCTATGAGTGAGAACATGCAGTGTTTGGTTTTCTGTTCTTGAGATAGTTTGCTGAGAATGATGATTTCCAGCTGCACTCCATGCCCCTACAAAGGACACAAACTCATCCTTTTTTTATGGCTGCATAGTATTCCATGTGGTATATGTACCACATTTTCTTAATCCAGTCTGTCACTGATGGCATTTGGGTTGATTCCAAGTCTTTTGCTATTGTGAATAGTGCCACAATAAACATAGTGTGCATGTTCTTTATAGCAGCATGATTTATAATCCTTGGGTATATACCCAGTAATGGATGGCTGGGTCATATGGTACTTCTAGTTCTAGATCCTTGAGAATCGCCATACTGTTTTCCATAATGGTTGAACTAGTTTACAATCCCACCAACCAGTGTAAAAAGTGTTCCTATTTCTCCACATCCCTCATCCAGCCCTGTTGTTTCCTGACTTTTTAATGATTGCCATTCTAACTGGCGTGAGATGGTATCTCATTGTTGGTTTTGATTTGCATTTCTCTGATGGCCAGTGATGATGAGCATTTTTCATGTGTCTGTTGGCTGCTATGAATGTCCTCTTTGGAAGAATGTCTGTTCATATCCTTTTGTCCACTTTTTTGAATGGGGTTGTTTTTTTTCTTGTAAATTTGTTTGAGTTCTTTGTAGGTTCTGGATATTAGCCCTTTGTCAGATGAGTAGATGCAAAAATGTTCTCCCATTCTGTAGGTTGCCTGTTCACCCTGAAGGTAGTTTCTTTGCTGTGGCAGAAGCCTCTTTAGTTTAATTAGATCCCATTTGTCAATTTTGGCTTTTGTTGCCATTGCTTTTGGTGTTTTAGACATGAAGTCCTTGCCCATGCCTATGTCCTGAATGGTATTACCGAGCCAACATATTTTCTACTTCCTTGGTGTACTTGTCTTCTATTTGAATGAAATGCTACCAGAAATTGCTCATGTTTTGAGATCACCTACACTTGTCACCCACTAAGCTCAACTTTCCCTCCTGGAGGAGGCTAGAAGCAGCCTGCCCCTCCTCTTTCCTGTCTTTTATGCTTCTCAGCACCAGCCAAGGCTCCAGGTAAGACAGGAGCGTGGCTCCAAAGTGGCCATGGTGGATTTGCATCCTGCCTGTTTTTTGCAGGGCCATTAGGCTGTGCGGGTACCCAGGTGATCACTTTGCCAACCCTTGTGATGTGACGTCAGGCAACCACATATCATGGACTCAAATTCAGCTGCTAATATTTTTTGTTTCCTTGAGTTAAGAGGCTGGGTTGAGAATTTCAAAGTAATTCAAAACCGATTAAAAGCTCTTCTGTATACTTGTGACTTTACTGGGTTTACCAGGAAGATGGAGAAATACACAAAAAAGATGGAGCTCTTTCATGTAATGAAAGTTCAAATAATTTTTCCAGTCTCCAAAGTTCAACTCTAGTCTCTAATCTGTCATGAATCAGGCCAGTTCCCCATTACCTTTAGTGAATTCATATGCCATGGCCAGGACAGAAACTTGAACCTGGTCATATTCCTTCCAGGGTGGACAAGGTAATACAGACAGACCCAGCAAGGCAGCTTAAACAATTTGCTTGCACTCAGAAGAAGAACGTAGGCCCCCGGAACACAAGCCTCTATGAGACTTGAAAGCAAATCTGGGTTTTCCCATCGCCTTTATGTTTTACGAGGGTTGGGGAAATGTTGGCTGTTTACTAATTATCAAAGCTGTTTTTATGACTTCCCCAAAGGAAAACAAAAAAGGAAAGGGTCCAAGTGTATTCCTTTAGGCCTGGGATGAAAGCTTGACCTTTAGTGCACTTGGGGAACTGCATGGTTTGTAGCGCTGGAAAATAAAACTCGGAATGCATGTTCAGGAAAGCAGGAAGCTTTGAAGTTGAAAAAGCCAAACAGGAACAGCTGTTTTGATTGGTGCGGTGCACGTACGGCCTGACGTGACAGACCTGTCCCATGCACTGTCCCTGTGGGTGAGGGACGACTGGGGAGCAGCAAGGAGCCTTTCCTTTCACGGGGGTTTCTGCTGGTGTTCCTTGGACATACAACTCCTGATTCGTGCAGGACACAGGAAACAAGCCCAGAGACCACAGGGGACCTTCGTGTCTGCCCCAGAGGAAATAACGTGGCCATATTCACACAACCAGTCTTGCAGGGAAGCCCCAGATACAAGGAAAATAGAAAAAGAGAGCATGCCATTACTGTTGGAAGTTTAATTATAATGATTTAAGGCTATCAATCAAGTTTAACTGGAACAAAAACATGTCTGCCTTTTTAGCTTCTGAGACTCTCGCCCTGTGGAAAAATATTTGCTTCATGGAAATTTTTAGTTTCACATTAGGATCTACATATTAGGTAAAATGCCATCCATTACGCCCCAAATTAGCATAAAATATTCTTTTCCCCAGAGAGGATGTGAAAAATCTTTGAGGTTGTCAGTTACCATAACCACTGGGTTCCAGTATTTATTTGCGTTCCTACTTTGGTCTCTTTTCAATGGACAGGCCCTTTACGGCTTCCTTCCTGTTTCTACCAGCGGAAATTGAACAGTAAAAATGGTAAATAAATTGGTTCTACCAGTTCCCAAGATTTAGATTCTTTCTTTTATATATTCTCTTAAAAATCAATTCAGCTATGGCACTTTCTAAAAATAAAATTTAGCCTTGCCTTTATTGTTCGCCTAGCTTTGTGTTAACCTGTTTGAAGAATTTATGACAATGAGCCATTTCCAAGGAACATCGCTGGGTTGACTTTCCCAAATGCTTGCGAATCGGGTTGGCAGTACAGATCCACCCTGATTTGAAACGTACAGTTTCCTATAAACGCTCTCAAAATGTACATTTATTAGCAATGTTCCCCAAAATGTAAATTTTGCATTGGGATTATTTCAATAGGGGCCCCCTTGTTTTTCTTCACTGCAACTGTGGAGTATCGGTTGCTGTGGTCTTTATCCAGAAGGCAGAAGGAAGAAAATGGAACCAGGGCTTTTGAAGTACAAACAGGGAAGCTGTTGTGTAAAGCGTCCAATAATTAGCATCCATCATTCAGCCACAACAACAAAACGCACCACAACACCTGAGGGACGATACTGGGCTCCGTGGTGGGAACCCCGAAAATCTGAGACAGGTCTCAGTTAATTTAGAAAGTTTACTGTGCCAAGGCTGAGGACACACGCTTGACACAGCCTCAGGATGTCCTAACAACACGTACCCAAGGTGGTCGGAGCACAGTCTGGTTTTACACATTTTAGGGAGATATGAGACATCAATCAACATGGAAAATAGACATTGGTTCAGTCTAGAAAGGTGGGTCTGGGAGGGAGCTTCCTGGTTCATAGATAGATAGGAGACAAACTTTTGCATTCTCTTGAGTTTCTGGTTCGCCTCTCCAAAAGAGGCAATCAGATATACATTTACCTCGGTGAGCAGAGGGGTGACTTTGAATAGAATGGGAGGCAGGTTTGCCCTAAGCAGTTCCCAGCTTGACTTTTCCCTTTAGCTTAGTGATTTTGGGGGCTCATGATACTTTCCTTTCTCAACATCTTCAGTTAAGAGAATGAGAATTACCTGGTTCAGCACAGGCTGCTTAGGAGAGGCCTGGGGCAGAAAGTCTCAGAGTTTAAAAGCATCCGAGTTACTGGAGCCCTGAGCCCCTTTGGCGCTCCCATCTATCCCTGCAGTGACTTTACCCTGGCAGCTGATGAGCCAGCCCACTTCTCAAAGGAATCACCTGGGTCTTGTAAAAAAGCAAATGCGAGTTCAGTGGATCTGGGTGGGGTTGTGTTTCTCAGAAGCTCCTCTGGGCAGGGAGAAGCTCTGGCATCTGCTTTCAGTTCTATCCCTGTGGTTTTGTCTGGAAGTTACTGGGCGAGGCCTCTTGAAGCATCCTGGGCACCTGCGCTGATGCTCCCCTCTGCACTCTGGCCAAAAATATCCCAAAATGAGGTTTTATTCTAAGCCCTCTGCATGGCTCCACTCTCAAATTCTAGAACCAGCTACCCCAGGATTTCTCCAGTCAGTAAGTATCTACGTGCTTTTGTTATTAGCCTAAACATGCAACTCTCTCTCACACTAAGCCCCTACTTGCGCTCAAGGAATTCCCCTGTGGTAAGATTGTGTTCTTCCTGAATACTTTAGGACTCACCCAGGAGAGGTCACACACGTATCCATGGAGCTTTCCTGCTGTCACTCGGCATCATGGCCAAGGGGTTCCCCAGCAGGTACTAGACCCCATTCTGAAACGGGGTTTGTTCCTCCTTTGACAGGAAATACTGCTGCAGTCACCGCTTCTCCAGCAAGAACCCTGATGGCTTTCCCTGAACAGGCTCGTGGGGTAAGTGTGTCTCCTTCACATTACACTAGACTGAGGCGGGGTTTCACAGAACTTTGGGTTAAGGTGGGAGCTGGTTCCAAATTGTTGGAAACATTGTTTTGAGGGTGAGCTTGGAGTCCTGGAAAGAACATGAGCTGTGGAGTCGAACATCACAGCCCAGTGGTAGGTGGCATTTGTGCTGGGCCTGCCAGAGCAGCCTGTCAGGGAAAACCCTCAGAGAGTGTCATAGCAGGTGTGCACACCCCGCTACACCTTCATCTCAGGGTGAGCTGTCGGGCCCTCAGGCTACGGGACTGCTGTGCCCCATGGTCAGGGTGGCATCAGCTCCTCCTCCCCTGGAATAGTCAGGGGCTGGGGAGCCACGTCTGGATTTGTAGTGGTATAGGGTGGAAGTCTGCAGCAAAGTTTGCCCCGTCTTGTGGCTGGCAGGCGTGATGGTTTATGTGCATGTAAGTGTGTGGTGGGTTCCCAAAACTGATTCCTAAGCATTTGGCTGTGCCCACTTTGAAGGAGGTCACCTCTGTATTTTGGGAGGGATCCTGCTTCAAAGGCATGAATCTGCAATGCGGATATTTGAGGCACCATGTGAGATCAGGCGAGGCCCGGAGTGTCTCAGGTGGGTCCATGTGGAGGATGGGAGGACCCGACTTCCTGGCTCCGATTGTCCAGCAGGCGTTTGTCTGCAGACCCTGCTTCAGCAGGGAGAAGCTGCAGAAATGCCACCCCCCCGGGGCAGAATAGGAGACACTGATCCTGATGTGAGTGATGGTGTGTGATCTCCCCTGCCCTGAACCTGCCGTAGAAATCCCCTCTCATCATAACACTCCCACCAAATCTTGCCTCTCCCTTTGGCACAATATGGCTTTTCTTTTTAGAAAGTCAAAGGTATGCATATTCAGAGCGTAAGATGTCAATAGCGCTCCCAGGCTTCCAGTGAAAATAATAATGGCTCCATACCTCATAGCCCCACTGCTGATTCCTGCTCTCGGGCGGCAGCGTCTCTCACGTGCCTTGGCAGCGTCTCCCACCTGCCTTGGCAGCGTCTCTCACCTGTCTTGCCTGCATCTCCCTGCATTTGAGTCTACAGATGACCCAGGACATGTATTGGTTTTCCATGTGAGCTGGGATCATTGATGGGGAGTTCCCTTTCTCCCAGCTCCTCCCACTCCTTCCTCCTTACCTCTACACCTCTACCTCTCAGTTCAACATCATGATGTCGCCATTTTGGGTGGAGTCAGTATTCCTCATTTATGTTATTTGAACTGTATTACTTTTATTCATAGTTGAGTCATTGTATAATATGATTGCTTTTCCTTTTGCACAAGTTTTCCTTCTTTAAATCAATAATTGCCTCTTTCTTGTTGTTTGTTTAGCTTTCTAAATACCTATCAAAATTCCTTCCCAACATCTTCCACAGAAATGAACATTTCCTTGGAACAAGTCCATGCACATTCTATGCTTGGTCAGTTGTATGTAGCCTGTTGCTGTTACTGTCATCAGTGCTGTTACTCTTGTGGTTCCTTGGCTGCCCTGCTGCCACCTGGGCCAGGCTGTTCCCGAGGCCTGTGGCTCAGCTCTCACCCGAGGCCTCCGTCATCCTGTCCTGTGAATTCATGTCCTCCTTCTTCCATCCTGATTCCGTATGATCCCATTTCTTGTCCTCCACTCCTCTGGCTTATTATTGCACTCAACTGTGTGTCTCCTGAGACCTTCCTGAGGAAGAATGCCTGGGAAGAAGCATCCCAAGGCTTCTGCACGTGAAGACCCACAACTCCAAGCTCACACTTCATTGACAGGTTAGCTAGGTATAGAATTCTAGGCTGGAAGCCATTTTGCCTTGATTCGGAAAGCATTGCTTCATAGTGTAGCAATTGAGAAGCTGTATGACATTCTGTTCTCCAAGCTTTTATGTGAGGCATGTTTTATTTTTCCCTCTGGGAAGATTCAGGATGTTTTCTGAAATGTCAACTTGATATGCCCATTGCCACCATAGGCAGTGCTGTGATTGGTGGAGAGATGCCAGCAGTTTCAGTTAAAAACATAAGTAAGACAGAGTCTTAGATCATTTCTCGGAATTTCCCACACCCAGTGTGGGATGGGAACAGCAGTGACACCCGAGTGTCCGAGAGAGGCAGAGAAGGAATGAAGCATTGCCCTGGCCCCTAAGGGACTTCACAAATGGGACAAGGGACAAGTGGTGGTGACACAGCTGGGCCAGATGTGAAGACCTGGCAAGAATGATGGTTGGCTCAGAAGACGTGAGTGGAGAGAAATGAGGCATGGATGTCTCCTTGCTCAATTTCTTGGCACCATAGAAAACCCCTAGCACTTATCCCCAACCCCAGGGGTAAGAGGGAAAATAACAAATGTATTGGGATTGGTGTGCTATCACTCTGCAAAAATGGGCACTTAAAATATTACTTACATTTAGTTACAGAAAAAAGTAAGAAATAATATTTCTTGTACATCTAAAATATGAGCAGAGATTTTGCTTGCTGTGAAATTAAATATACTTATGTCTGTTTCTTCTATAAACTCCTTAAGGGCAAGAAATGGGTCTTATTTATTTTTGGTATCCTCAGAACTTGGATCATATTAGGGGCCAAAACATTGTTTACTGAATTTAACCAACAAAGAGGATACAAAGGACTCTGGCTGCTGGAATCCCATTTGCTTGGTGCATTTGGTTCAAATTCATAGGACTCACCCACTTGCCCCGTCTGTCCTGCCCTGCGGGGTGAACCTGGAGTCCAGGGAAAGACTAGAAATGCATCTCCCTGTTCTCCCCAGCCTCCCTCCTAAGGAAGGGCCTCAAGCCACGATGCAGGTCTGGTGCAAACGGACTTTCTGCCCCAGAAAGACAGAGTTGGTCATTTTGTCCAGCTTTCTCCTGGCGGTGTTTCCATTCACCAGCTTCTGCCTCTCAAATGACACAGATGTTTTCAGAATGCCTTCTCCTTGCAGCTTCACTCCAGCACCCCTAGCTAGGAGCAGGGTGCTCAGCAGCCCCAGAACTTGGCATAGTGTTTGGTACAGAGCAGGCTGTTTGCAAATATTTGTTGGATTAATTACTCGTTTAATGAAACAAGATAATACAAGTCATTCCTCCTCAGGAAATGAGCACTGGTCAGTAGGCAGTCCCCCTGTGCAAGCCCCTGACACTTCTACAGGGCAGAGGCTGGGAAGGATGAACATGCAGAAGTGGAAGGACGGGGGGCGGGAGGAAAGCCTGGGCAGGCTCGAGGCCAGTCTCTTCCCTCCACTCTAGCACATGGTGAGCATGGGACACCCAGCCCTCCTTGGGTATCGGGGCAGCAGTAGGTCTTCCTCTTTGCCTGCTGGCTCTCAGAAGCTCAGGCCTCTATCTGGGGACATCCAGTGGCCAAGTGCTTCACTGCTGGGCTTCCCAGAGGACAGTCCTGAGCCAGGCCCATATTCAGGCCAGTCCCGTAGCCATAAAGGGACATCTTCGTTGGTGTGCATGGCGCAATGGGTTAATCTGGTGTTTTCTCACAAGTTGACTTCACAAACCAATGAATTCGCATTTCCAAGAACATGTCACTGGCCTCTTTCCATGAGACTGAAAAGGAATTAATTGGTCATTTCTGAAACAAAGTGCTAAATCACATCGTAATGCCCCACGAAGCTCCCAGAACGCAAAAGAACAGCCCTGTATGCCGGAAAGGCTGGTGGATGCGGTTCCTCTCCCAGCCATGAGTCAGGGCCCTCAGGGTGGTGTGGCTTTTGTCGGGAAGCCATGAGCTCAGAGGGAGCAGTGGCCGGCTGACCGGCCCGCACGGTGCCTGCGCTGCTGTCCAGGTGAGCTGCCTGGGCAGGACGACACTGACAGACGCGCCTCCCTGAGCCTGGAAGCTGCACCTCCCCACAGCTGGAGATCTGGGAATTGGGGCCTGAATCATCCCCCGATATTCACATCAGCCTGAAGGTTTCCGTACTGAAGCAGGAAGCTACGTTCATGAATACTTCCTATCCTCCTTGGGGTCATGGCCACTTTATGAATACCACCATCACAGGTGGGAAACATCTCTAGGCAACATTTAGAGATCCTGTAAAAGATTTTTATTTTTATCATAAATTCCTAGTGTCCTGTGCAATCTCAGTATTTTAAGATGCTTGTTGGATGTAAGTTAAAGCTGGGGATGATTCCATTAACGTGGACCACAGTGGACCGTCAGTCAAAGGGCTGCTGTCCTCTTGGTGACACCCGGCCCAGGCTCTCACAGAAAGGCTCAAGAGCAGACCCTCGTGGGCCCAGCTACCTGGCCTCCCTCCGCTGGGTAGGAGTTGACTTTGGATCCCACCCACTGTTGGGAAAGGGGCGCCTCGTGGCCACCGGAGGAAGCCAGCCTTCAGAGATACAGGATGAAGTGCTTTGCCAGCTCCAAGCACAATGCCCTTCTGACTTCACAAATGAATCAGACCAGACACAGCTGAACTTTGCCTGGAAAAGAAATCGTATGTTGAAGCATTAGGCTAAGAAAAACATGATTCCATGTGTATTGTGCTCTGTGATTTCTGAGCTCTCGGGCCTGTTTCTGAGCTCCACCCTGCTGGGGAGAGCGGACAAACCAGCGCAGCTCGGCTCGGGGACTGCACAGCTTGCTTCATTTAAACGTAGCCTCCACACAGCCCCCAGCCAGATTCTCATGTGATTTTTATGGAAATTCTCTCATAGACTTATAGATACGTCCTATAGCCCCAAACCATTTCCTTCGTGTGTTTATCCCGCTGCTTCCCACTGTCCCATCTGTGGTGCACCCCGGGAGCCCCCTCACTCTGCTCCCCACATCCTGCTCCGTGGGGAGTGGAGGGAAAGCCCAGACAGTCCTCTACTGCTCACCAGGGCTGGGGACCTTGGGAAATGTACTTTATTTTTCTAAGTTTCAATTTCTTCATCTGTAAAATAGGGATAACAACGTACTTACCCAAGTGACATAATTGAAATGAATCTCTTAGTATAGCACCTGGCATGTACTATGTGAGGCCTCCATTTTAACTATTGTTATTATTTTCCTATGGGGATATTTGCAAAGAAAAATGCCAGCCCATGGAGTTAATGTCTTTCAAATGTTTTGGGGAACTCCCCAGGGTGAAACTCT